AGGGAGTGTGGGGAGACAGGGTAGGGCAGGATCCTGGCTCTGGTAGCATTTGTGCCTGGATACTGAAGACCATGCAGGCTAGTAGGTGTGTAACTTGGGAGCCAGTGGATGCAGATGATTGGGATGTTTCAGGCTCTACAGAATGTGGTACCCAATGGTCTCCAGCTCTGGCCCCTCCCGTGTAGTCGTCTCTTCTTTTTTTGCAGTTTGAGAGATGGTACCCAGGACCTTGCGCATGCCATGCAGTGCTGCCCTGCTGAGCGGCACCCCCAGCCCCATCTGCTAGTCTTTTCCACAAAGCCAGGCCCTAGCTCCAGTGCTGGACTCCCCTCCCGGCACTTCTTCACCTCTCTGACTCCTGCTAGCACCAGCCCACTTCCGTTTAGCGGTAGCTGGGGTTCAAATGTTGCCACCATCAGGTTTTTCTGTGCCTGTGGTTGGGGAGGGGGCAGAGGTGCAGCACTCCCTCACACCAAAGGACCCAGAAGGCAGCCTGGAAACAGCGGGTGTAAGCCAGAGACTGCAGGGAGGCAGACGGCAGGTGCAGGGGACCAAGAAGGCTTTCGTTGGCATTCCGTGGGGCACCCTGGCCAGGTGAGAGCCCCTGACAGGGACACCGGACTCCCCAGAGGCTGGAAGAATCACAAATTCAATTCATACAGAGGGAAGTCACAAGGCCAGGTGCAAGGGACCCAAAGGACCTCAGAGCCCAGGGACCTGCTCAGCAAACTGGCGTGGGGGAGATGAACTACTGTGCCCAAGGTCCCAGGGTCCCTGGGGGAAAGTCCTATCCAGCCAGCTTCCAGACGTCTGCCTCAGGAATGCTTCCTAAGGACTGCTCGGCGACATCCAGACACAGAGGGCAAGGCCGCGGAATGGCCTTTCTCTGCTTTTTAAATGCAGTCCATAATAGTCCCCTCCTGCAGCCTCAGGCTAGGGCTGCTGGTCCACTTCCTCCCTCCTGGAGGGGTCGTGCTAGTCCAGTCTGCCTCTTTTCCGAGTACCCCGACCCCCACCCCATCCATGTCCTAACCACCCCCATCAAACTCCAGAAGTACTTAGAACCATAAATTAAAACAAATTGCATTTTAAAAAGTAAATAGGGGCCATTTTATCTTTTTCTTATTGTGTAACAACCATTAATGAAGTATACTCCCTGCACTGTAATCACTCGGAGACTAAAGTTCAATTCCTGCCATCCATGCAGGCTGGGTGTCACAGCTACAAACCTGGTGTAACACAGTGTAAATAAAGTTCCGGGCAGACAAGGGGCTTGGGAGGGGGTCCACCCTGCTGACCAGGGCAGGTCATGGAGGCCACAGCCTGGAGCTGCATCCCGCTGCTGATGGGTAGGAGGTCCTGAGGCCACTTGGACACAAAGAGGCCTCTCCCAGCAGGGGAGGCCAGGAAGGGGCTGAGGTCAAGCAGGGTCCATCCACCAGCAAAGACCGGGAGATGCAGGGCACGCTTGGCTGCCTGAGGCCCCGAAGCCGCCCCCGCCCCCCCCCAAACACACACACACACACACACACACACACACACACTCCCTATCTGATCCCGGACCAGCCACATGCAGCAAGACAGGCTGACCAGCCTGGCTTCCTGCCTTCCAGGGCACAGCCACTTTTCTGGGCTCCTTGTCCTACTAGGGGAGCAGTGAGGAGGGCCTAGACCCTTCCCACATAATGAACAGGCTGGAGTCCCCAGGGGTGCACAGAGCCACAAGTAGTTGGGGTCAGGTCTGTGGTTAGCAACTTCCCTCGACAGACGAGGGAACCAGTCACTGTCCCTTCCTGAACACACTGCTTGGCCCTCCACATGGGGGTAGGGGACAGCCACCCGGGTGGAAGTGGGGGGCCGCGTGCAGAGCCCAGCAGTGGCCTGGTGCCTAGGGAGGGTCCCAGGCAGGGACAGGCAGAGTGCACTCCACTTACACCACAGTGGCCTGGCTTTCCCCTCCCCCAGGGCTGCAGGCCTCTTAATATTTAACTTGCTCTGGGCCAGCGCTGACCCCCAAAGCAAACAGGGGCAGCTTCCTGTGGAGGAGGCACCTTCCTAGTACCAGGCAGCTAGCTCCTTGGGACTGGAGTCGGGAAGAAGTGTCTTAAAGGAGGGCCCTGGTGAGCAATTACTTGGCGTGGGCTTGGGGTAGGTGCTGATGCTGGAGGACACTATTAACTCCTCCCATCTCCCCGCTGGGAGAGCTGTGACCTCTCCTGGGAGTGACTGCGGTCAGGGGGTGGCAGACAAAAGTGGCTCACAGGACCCCAAGGCCTGGCCTGGTTCTGAAGGCCAAGGAGGGGGGAGCTGGGCCCCAGCAGGGGACAGAGGTGTCCCTGGAGAGAGCAGGAGAGGGGGCTTCCTCCAGAAACCCGCTGTGCTATTGTTACACTTTCTGAGGCCAGGGAATGTTTCCAGCAGGCTGTGACAACCAAAAATAATAATAATAACGCCCCTCCCCCAGCAGCAGGAATTCTGAAAAAACAGCTGTTGCCGTTATCGCCCCAGGAAAAACAAGGTCAGGCGCTGCGAAGATTTAATTTAAAGCGCGCCCCCGCAGCCCCCAGCATCAGCCAGCGCGCCCGCGTCCTGCCCACGCGCGGGTTCGGGGCCTGTGTGGGCCGCGGGGCGCCCAGGCTGTCCCTGCTGCTGGGGACCGATGGGTGGCTCCCCGGGAAGGGTGGGGGTCTTTGGTCTGCGCGAATCGAGGTGACCTCGGGCAGGCTGTCATTGTCCCCAGCTCCTGGGGGGCCGAATCAGTCTCTAACAAAGCCCCCGACAATGGGGGGCGCTGCCAGGAGAACAGAATCCGGCTTTAATCAGAAGTGATGGCACAGTGAGCCTCGGCCCATAGCAGGGCCACTAACACCCTGGTCCTTGTCAGGCCCGGTGCTCAGAAGCGGGGTGGCTGGGCCTCGGAAGGCCCTCTCTCGGACACCCACTCTTCAGGGGCGGTGCTCGCCGACAGGACTTGAGGTGCGGGGGGTGGGGGACGGCGGCAGGGTGGGTGCTTCGGCCGCCCCTGTCGCGCTGACCCGGAGAGCAGTTGTTTTACAGCAAGCAGCGCCCGAGACCCCGGGCAGCGCGAGTCCTCCGCGTGCGCCGCGTGCGGTGCAGCCCGGGGTAGGCGGGGGGCTCCGCCCTCGGGTGCCCAGAGATCCCGGAGCTCGGCCGGGAAGTTCCAGAGTGGGACGACGCCGAGGCGAGGCCCGGCCTTGGCGGGGAGCCGCACCGCGTGCGCATGGCCCTCGAGGCCTCCAGGTCCCCACCAGCACGAGCTGTGTCCCGGCAGAAATCAACAAACACCATTAATTCTCAGTATATCCCAAATTGAGCTGGGGGTGAGGAGGAAAGGTAGAAGGGGGAGGGGATGGGGTTGGACCCATTTTTTTTTTTTACTTTAAAAATTATGTATTTTATGTCACAAACGCTTTTCGTTAAGACCACAAACATCCAATTTGGCTTGGCGTAATAAAATCAGCCGGAGCTCCCTTAAACGGAGGCATTGCGGAGAATTAAGTTGTGAAATCTAATCTATTATATCCATAAAGGAGAATGCTTTCATTGTAAATTCAGGTTATAAAGAAACTATACCTGGGCCGCCAGCCTCCCTTTCGGATTTGCTACTTGAAGGCTTATCAAATTACTTCAAAATGTTGGGCTACCCTCTCCATATCTCATGGCAACAAAATTAAATGTGGCAACATTTCTTTTAATAGAGGGAAAGATCAGAAAATCCGCCACAACAAGGAGATATAATTTTTTAAAAGACCCCCCCCCCACGCGTTGGGAAGTGCCCTTACTATTTTCCCAATTAATTTGAACTAAAAAAAAAAATGGACCAAGACTTCAACTTTTTTCCCACTCCGCAGCGGGGAACTTCTGGGGCGCGGTCCCGGGTGGGCCGCACGTGCGCCCCGCCGAACACCTGCGGGGTCAGGATGGGGCGCCCACCCCCAGCCCAGCCCGCCCCAACCTGCGCCCCAACCTCCGGCCCCACGCTTGGATGGCCTGGGCAGCGGCTAAGCCAGACAAAGGAGTCGCCCACCAGGGGTTTATCCGCCCCTCACCCTTCTGGGAACTCAGTACCCCCACGCTCTCCACCGGCTGCTTGGAGGGGGGAGATGCAGCCCCGAGTATTTATTTGGTCTCACAAACAGGGCAGGGGTATTTATTGCCCTTCCAGAGCTGACCAGAAGTCGGGGTCGCTGCCGAAGAGGGGGACGTGTTTGGGGGGTAGGCGAGGAGATCGATAAGTTTCTAAATTCCCAGCGAACTGGAGGACTCAGCTTTTGTCAGGCCTGCGAAAAAGATTTATGAGGCGCCGGCGGAGTGTCGGGCTAGCTTCGCCCAGGCCGCCAGCGCACCCCGTCTAATCTTTGATTTCCATCTAATTATTTTTTTCCTGCCACCTCCGACTCAGTGTCCGAAGAAGTGAACAAAGAGAGGGGGATGGGACCGCATGGCAGCTGCGCGGGTTGGCTGGGGGACCCCCCCCCTCCTGTGGGGGACCCCGCAGCGCCCCAGGTCCGCGGCCGGTGCGGGCGAGGCAGGAAAAGGGGTCGGCCCCGCAGTGGACCCCGCTCTGCAGCCGGGCCTCGACGAAGAAGCGCCTCGACCCTCGGGTGGGGCCCGGAGTCGGAGCAGATGGAGCCGCACCCCACAGGGCTCCTAGGTGGGATCCCGGAAATGCCCAAGAGCGTCGGGAGCACAAACAAAAAACTTTCCCCAAAATTGCAACTAAGGGAGGTTTGGGGGAGGAAGATTAGGCTGCTCAGCCTTTGGCAAGTTTCTTTTCTCCCGGCTCGGAAAAGTATCTCCCCGAGCGAGTAAGAGAGGAGCGAAATTTAGATCTTTCGCTTTGGGGGGAAAAAAATCCAAAATGGAAAATAATTTTATTGGTCACCACTCCTAAGCCAACTAAAAGCAAGGATAATTAGAGTGTGGGGAATTCGAGGGACTATAAATCTGCGGCGCCTTTTCCACTGGAGTCGGGAGCCTTTATGGCTTGTTGAGTTTTATTTTGAGAGAAATGAGGTCCAGGGCTTTGGTGGACACGGGTGTGCGCCCCGCGCGCCACGCGGGGCCGAGACGACGCGCGCCCGGGGCTCTGGCCCGCGGAAGGAAGGTGGTCACAAGGCTGCGCGCTTTGCCCCAAAGAGGTCCCTTCCCGGGCCCAGGTTCTTTTCTCTCCAGCCCGGAAACCATTGTTTGAGGCGATCGGGGGAGTCGCTTTCTTCCCTGTCCAGACTCCAGAAAATATTCATTCCTGTGTGCCGGGCGGGATAAGGAGGCGAGGGATTTTTATAACGTAATCCATCCCAGTTGGGGCTCCCAAACCCCCAGCCTACCCTGCACCCTTGGCCTTTTGTTTTCATTTTCTGGGGGGAGGACACAGAATTACTCCCCCCATACATCATCACCAAATTATTTAATTTTCAATCTTTTGCAGAACGGCCAGGGAGTAGATTTCACTCCATAGGGGTTTTTATCCCACCGGCTGGAGAGTACTTTCCAAATTCCCACACAGCGAGGACCCTTTTCCTCTTCTGAAAGTCTTCCAACAAAACCTCCCCTAGCAAACAACAGCTAAAATCCTATTAAACGGGTAAGAAAGTGGGGAGAGCCCTGGCTCAGCTGTCTCTAATTTTGAGATGAGAAAGTGAATTCTTTTTTAAGGAACTCTAAAAATAAAATCTTTCCCTCTAGTTCTCTTCAATCTTCCCTTTGTTGGGGGGGGGGGTTCTTCTTAAAAACGGGGGCGGGGAGACCTGAAGGTCTACAATCAGAAGAGCTCTCCCCCCAAAACGGTTCTCCGAGGATTTCTTTTGTTTGAAGTGGGCATGGGGGAGGGGAAGGAGTCCGCTCCAGGCCGACTACCGGCCTCCTCCGACCAGAAAACCCCAAAGTCCACAGGCCTCTCCTAGCCGCAAGCCCGGGGTTCTTGGGGCCGGGAGTGGGTCGTTTCAGGGCGAAGGGAGCTGCTCGCCCAGCAGCCGGTAAGGTCGGGCCTTCCCCGTCCCGGGCTTTCTTCGACACCCCCTTCCAAATCGAGCCTTCCAGCTCGGAAAAGAATCCGAGTTTCCCAAAGGGCAGGGGTGCGGACTGCAGAAACAAAGCCCGCTGTTCCAGCTGAGGCCCAGGCTGCGCGCACAGTCTTGCAGCGGGAGAAAAGGGACGCAGATTTCCAGAGGGGCCCTGTTCCTCCTGATCTCGGGGTGAGGGTAGAGAGGCGTCCCGGTGGAAGCTCTAGGGACACCAGAAGGGGGTCCACCCCGCAGAAAGACACGTTTACAGCGAACGGCTCTTACACACCAGCCGGGTTTATTCGTTCCCTCCCGAAAGTGCGCTCTGGGCGCGCGGGAAACAAGGAAAACGCACGTACCTGGCGGTGCTCCGAGGGCGGCCTCGCGGGCCTTCCGCTGGCTAGGGGCCCCTCGAAGCCACTCCCCACCCGGCTGGTCGCCCCACGGCCCGTCCCTCCCTCCCCGGCGACGCACCCGCCGAGCCAACTCTCCAGGAAGCGCGAGAAGCCGGAGACCGGCCCGCCTGGGCGGGCGCCGCACCTCCCGCCCGCGATCCGCGGAGAGGGTCCCCGCGGGGCGGGGGTGGACTCCGGGCCCGGGAGCTGCGCATGGGGTGTGGAGCTGCGGATCCAGCTGCCGGTTCGGCTCGGCCTTCTGCGTCCAGGCTCCGGCTCTCCCGGGCTGGCGGCCCCGCTGCGGAGACAGGAGCCCTCGGGGAAGAAGAGGCGGCCGGGGACCGGGCAGGAGCCCCGGGGCGGGAGGGGTGCAGGGTGGAGGGGCAAGCGGGCTCCCTGCGCCCCGCCGCCCTCCGGGGCGCCCCGCCCCCACGGCCCCACCTCCACGGACGACAGCGCCTCGGCCCGCCGTGGCCTCCACGCCCCTCCCGCGCTGTGGCCCGCGCTTTGCCCAATCAACGCCAGCCGCCGCCGATCCCTTTGTCTGAACCGTCGGAGCAGGCCAATGGGATCGCTCGAGGGCGTGGGCGGAACGGGGCTTGACCAATGGGCGCACTCGAGGGCGTGGCTTGTGACGGGGCGCTGCAGCCTGAAGGATTCAGCGGGCGAGCGCTGCGGGACTCGAGCGCTGAGGCCGGGTAGGGCGGCTGCACCCGGGTTCTGCTCTTCTGACACCCCCCCACACACACACTCTAGCTGGATAGCACCATAGAGCCAGCAGGGGTTCGTGGGAGGGGGCGTCGCGGCTGCAGAGAGCCGTACGGCGACATGGAGAAGGTCCTCTCCGAGGACTTGGTCCAGAACAGCCCATGGCATCCCAGAGGGACGTGCGAAGAGACGTGCAGGCAGCACGGCCTCCCAAGGGAAAAGAGTGTGTGGCATCGAATGTCCATAAATCGGTGTTCTGCTTCCAAGGCATCCGGGGTGCTTCAGGTCTCGAACCCTGTGAGATTAGGGGCTTATGTCCCAGGTTTTCCCAGGATGAGCAGTGGCCCCTCATTCCCTGAACCAAGAAATGTCAGGAAAGAGCCAGCGAGCAGAGCTGGAGGGGACCTCAGCCAGGGGTGCACTGCTCAGTGCCTCCCACCCCATTCAGGTACTGGTCCTCTCCAAGGTGTGAGGCCAGGGTCTCACTAGTGCCCTCCTATGGGGCGTCGGGGGCAGAAATAAGCCCCAGAGGGCTGGGTGGTGCCTTCTCTTCTCCAACAGAGATCTGCTCAGGCAGGCTGGCTTGTGCTCAGAGGACTGAGGTGATCCTGGCCTCCTGCATGTCGAGAAAGAGAACCCACAGCCTGTGGGCCTCCGTGGTCCCAGGCCCTCAAACTTTCCTTGGTTCCCAAACCTTCACCCCAAGTGAAATCACAGACAAATCAAAATAGAAACGGATATAGAGCAATCTGGTCAACTCAGTTGGCAGCTGCTGGACCTGGAGGTTGGGATGGGCCCTTTCCTGGGGGATCTGGTTTGTGAGTCCAAGGGAGAGGTGAACCTTGCTGCAGATAAGGTGTGAAACAGTGGAGCCAGTGCTAGGGAAGAGTCTGGTCACAAACATCCCAGGACCTGCCGGGGGCTCAGCCTGAACATCTTCACTCCCCATGTCCCTGGCCCCATTGTCAGCAAAGTCACCATCCAGTTCCCTGTTGCCAGAGCCGCTGGACAGTGACCTCTGATGCTCCGGGGGTCACAGGGATCAGCTGTTCCCAGCTTGGAGAGCAGGCAGGAGCTCCCAGCAGCTTGGCCTCGTCCAGTCATCACTGCATTTCAGACTCGGATCGGATCGATATGGCCTCGAAGATGCAGCTCCCAGGGATTAAGCATCCAAGGCCTGAAACCTGAACCAGTTTAGAGCCCTCAAAGGGATTGAATCAAGATATCGGTTTGGACAGTTCTTAACAGTCTGCGCTCCCACCCTCAAGCCCTGGAAATGATAGAAAAATGTTAAAACCCATTATAATCAGAGAACAGGAAGGGTGCCTGAGGAGAGGGGTGGGGCATCAGAGTGGCTGGAGAGAGGAGACCACAGCTTTAGAGCTGGCAGGGATGGTGGCGTTGAGGGAGCCAGGCTCAGAGGCTTCTGGGCAACTGTCAGGGTGATTGGTGGGGTGGGGGTCAGCCCCTCCCTGGGTGTGTTCAGCTGGGACAATGTCCAAAGAAAACATCCTGTTGGGCCGGGCATGGTGGTGCATGCCTGTTATCCCAGCACCCAGGAGGTTGAGGCAGGAGGAGCACCGAGAGTTCGAGGCCAGCCCCTGAACTACATAGGGAGACACTGTCTCAAAAATAAATAAATAAGTAAAACATCTTGTTGTCAAATAGCGTCTGGAAATATCAGTGAGTCTCCTGTCCTCGAGGCCAGCACTGATGCTCGAAGCAACTTGCCTGGCCTGCCACATTGTCAAGGCTGCTGACCACTTGCTGATGGACAGACAACCTCCCGTCAGGCTCTGATGAGACACATCAGGCGTGGCTCCCTGGGGTGGAGATGTGGATGACACTTCCAGGGTTCCCTAGTGAGGGGTGTGGCCATGCAGCAAATTCTTCTGCTGAGATGAGTGGCCTTTGTGCTCCCCAGCTGTCACCCTCTTCGGGCTTGAGAGCCTGGGTGGCCACAAGCAGAGTAACCCGGCAGTGAACAGCAGAACCACCGTCAGCCTGGGCACCAAGTAGCTGGGAGAGTCAAGACCAAAGTGGAACTGTGACTGCACTCTCGGAGAGGAAGCCGCTTCTCTTTTGTTTGGGCTGCTATGCCAAGCTCTATAGGTCAGCGCCATCAAATGTACAGTTAACTTAGCTTCAGTTTATCTCAGGCTACGTAATGCATCTTGGTTCTTGGATTTTACGTCTACCTCCTTGCCATGGCTTCTGGGTGGACGGTGGGCAAACCCCTCCCCTTGGCTGTGGGCCTGATAGTGTGGCTCATCCTGTCCAGTGGGATGTTTCCAGATGTGAAGTGGGCAAAGGCGTGGAATGTGCTGGCCAGGCCAGCCCTGTCCTGCACATCAGGGATCCACCGTGGGAAAACTGCCCCATGGAAGACTGGAGAACAGAGCTGATGCTAATGGGAAGCCACTGGTCCCAGGAGGCAAGAAGCTTAGCAGGTGGCAGTTCATCCTGTGTCCCAGAACCCAGGTCCAGCCTGGCTTGGTGGGGTCAGCTGGCTGGAAGCGGTCACTCCTATGCAAGTGGAATCCTCATTGCAGGTGTGAGCCACTCAGGGTGGCTCTTTAAGCAGCACCATGGTGACAGCTGACTGAGACTAATTATCCTGCAGAACTAATACAGAAGCCTGCCCACAGGGTGCTGGAGAGATGGGACCCCAGAACATGTGGGCTCCGCTGAGCACTGGGGAAGCTGGGCAAGGGGTAGAAAAAAGCCAGAGCCTTAGTATGCCGGGGGCCCTTGGGGCTCTGCCCAGTCCTGCACCCCAGAAATGTGGGTTCCCCGGTTGGAGAGCCAGTGTTTAGACCTCAAACAGTAGGAGAGAAGATTGTTATTGCTTCGAGGCCTGCCGCAAAGACAGCTCAGTCAAATCAGAGGGCTTAGGCCTGTGGCAGAGCTCAGATTAAGGATCAGGTTGCAGGGGAGGGAGTGGATAATTGAATGCGACCTGGGCTGTCAGTGGGATCAGTGCGACCAGGGAAACTGCATCTGGACCCAATGAGCAGCTCCTGGCCCCTGGCCATGCCGGGCTGCTGCAGGGGCTTCCCCTTGAGATGACCTTTTCTATGAGACTTGTTCCGTGTGTGGGAAGAAGCCAGAGTGCTCCTGGATCTGTGAAGGCCAGAGGGCGGGGTGGCAGACATCCTGCTGTCCACCGGAAGCTGCTGCTCCTCTCATGGGACACCTGGCTGCACAGCCTCCTCACGGTAGGTGTGGCTACCAACAGAATGTGGCAGAAGCCATGGCCCCAGTTTCAGGCTCACAGAGTTCTGTATGAGCCGCTTCCCATGGCTGGAGTGTAGATAACCCTTCACAGAAGCCGCATTGAGGATGGCAGAGCAGCCATCCCCTCCAGAACCTGGATAACAGTGTGGAGCCTCAGGTGGGTCAGCGAAAACTAAGCTGCCTAGGGGCCCACACATGTAATCCCCACTACTTAGAAAGCTGAGGCAGGAGGGCCACAAATTTTAAAGTCCAGCCTGGAAAATTTAGTGACTTAACAAGACCTTGTCTCAAAAATATATATATTTTTTTGGTACTGGGGATCAAACTCGGGACCTTGTGCTTGTGAGGCAGGTGGCAGCACCACTGAGCTAAATCCCCAGCCCTCAAAAATATATTTTTAATTTTAGAAGAACTTGGGATTTAGCTCAGTGTGAAAATCCCAGGTTCAGGCCGAAGTATTGGGCGGGGCGGAATGGGAGAGCAACCGTTTTTAAAACACACAGAATTTTTTTAAAAACACAGAATATTTCAAAACAGCGCTAGTAATATCTTCAGAGAGAAAGTTTTTGTCTTTATAAAATAATCTGGGGACTGGAGGTATAGCTCAATGGTAGTGTGTGTTTAGCATTTGTGAGGCCCAGCACCAAAAAAGAAAAGAGAAAACAAAGAATCTGAAAAGAAAAAAAGACAAAAATCATCATAATAAAAGAATCTGGGGAAGTGAATGCTCAGATGATTTTTCCTTTCTTCCTCACAATTTTCTGTATCACTCAATTTCACAAGAATATATTATTTATATACTTGGGAAAAATAAAACTGTGTTCATTTGAGAAAATAAAAATAAGCTTTAAAGGATACCTCCTACCAGTCAGCTAGGTATCTTGGGAAATAAAAAATTGGAGCCTGGAAAACAAAATCCTCAATAGGTGGGCCAAGGAGTGGATGGGCCTCGAAGGACCCATGGCCTGGTGGGCTGGAAGGGGAGGCTGAAGAATTCTCAAGGCCAGAGAGGAAAAGGAGGCAAACATGGTAAGTGTGAGGGAAGAGTTAAGAAACACGGCAAATGGGCCCATCATCTTCTACACCCACTTAAATGGATTTCCAGAGGAGAAAGAAAAGAAAAGGAACTAATAAAACTGTCCAGGGCTGAAAGAGAAACACTTTGATAAGATTTTAGAATCCAGGAAAGAAAAATAAAAGTTCCCGGGAGGGGGAAAAAATGTAAGAAAAAGCCCGACATCTGACGTGGCCACCTGAGACTCGGCCACAATGGAGGGGCCACCTTCAAGCCTAGCAAGACGGGCGAGCCTGCAGCCTGGGATTCTGAGCCAGCCCCAGCAGCCTTCAGTGGTGAGGAAAAACAAACACTGTTTTTGGTCATGCCAAGTGTTCAGAGTGTATTTCCAACAAATACTATCTGAAATAATTACTAGATTATGCACTCTAGCAAAACCAAAATAAAGAAATAAGTAAATCCAAGAGGAAGGCAGGGGATACGTGAGCCAGTGCGGCTGATTTTTATCTATGGGGCACCCGTGTAGGGAGGTGCTCTTGGCAGTCAGAGAAGAAGGAGGCTCCAGGCGACCTCAGATGGGAAGAGCCAGGGGAAGGAGGAGGGGAATAAGACTTCGAGAAGGGCTGTGTCGTGCCTGTGGGATTAGACAGATTCCGAAGAACTCTAGACGGGTTGGAAGATGTAAATTCAAGTACATAGTAAAAATTTAACCACTAGGGCCGGATTTAGCTCAGTGGTTCTGCCGCCTGCCTTGCAAACGCAAGGTCCTGAGTTCGATCCCTGATACCAAAAAAAAAATGTAACCACTAGGCTGGGGCTGAAGCTCAGGGGTAGAGCACTTGGTTAGCATGGGCAAGGCCCCGGGGTCCA